TCCATGATTCCAACCTTTCCACTGACAGCCCTGGCATCTCTGCCAAAACGGGCTCAGGATTTGGGGTGTGGGAAACAGGGCTATGAAATGGTTCAATCAACAATTTGTACCTTAAAAACAGCTATGAGAGCCAGAGAAATTGTGCTCTGATACAAATCCAGAAGGTGCCAAAAATGATGTTATAGATTAAATCAGTGATAAGTGTAATCAATGCCCAGGTTGGATGCAGAGGTGAGTAAGGAAAATATTAAGCTCTTTTATGGAACCAGGTGACTAAAACAGTGAGAGCACCCACTGGCGATCAAAGCATCGGGAGAGATGGGCCTGAGGAGAAACCATCTGGCTTAAAGGCATTTGGCTTCAATATGGAAAAAAAGAAAGAGAACTTAGGCAGCTGGATCAATGGATCTGGCTTTCCTTCTTCTCTTTTACTTGGAATTTAAAAATAAATAAATAGATAAAAATCATAAGAAACACCAAAGAAGCTGACAAAGAAGCAAGGAAACACCAAACAGAAGCTGGGGCAGCAAAATGCAGAGAAAAAGCTGAGAGAGTGAGTTTCAGCTGAGACAGTTTCAGCACTGTCAGAAAAGTCTTGAATCTGTTGCAAAGATGCTTCTCTCGCTTGATCCAAAGACAAAAGATATTGATTTCAAGCTGGAAACACCTGGTGGGGCCCAAGCTGCTTCCCAAAGTCTGAAAAGGAGAATTATTTTTCAGAAAATATCACTCTGGGTGTCGTAGCAAAGAGCTGGAGCTCAGTCAGGTGGCAAAGTTAGTCAGGTAGGGAAAATTGTTTTAAACTGCCAGAGAGCAGGGTTAGATGGGATGTTGGGAAGGAATTGTTGGCTGTGAGGGTGGGGAGGGGGTGGGATAGAATTCCCAGAGAAGCTGTGGCTGCCCCTGGATCCCTGGAAATGTCCAAGGCCAGGTTGGACAGGGCTTGGAGCAACCTGGGCTGGTGGAAGGTGTCCCTGCCCATGGCAGGGGGTGACATTGGATGAGCTTTAAGGTCCCTTCCAACCTAAACCATTCCGTGGTTCTATGAAGAAAAAAATAACAAAGGTCTATTAAATAATCTTTCAAGCAAATACCTGGGATTTTCATTCAGATCTTGGTGTTTGGCTCCTACACATACTAAGGATATAGGAATTAGTTTTAGGTTGGATCTCAGGACAAGGTTCTTCCCCCAGAGGGTGGTGGGCACTGCCCAGGCTCCCCAGGGCAGTGGGCACAGCTCCAAGGCTGCCAGAGCTCCAGGAGGGTTTGGACAACGCTCTGAGGGACAGGGGGGAGTGTTGGTGTGTCCTGGGCAGGACCAGGGCTTGGACTGGGTGATCCTTGGGGATCCTTCCAACTCAGGATATTCCATGATTCTATGATTCAGCCCCATGAGCATGTCTGTGTCATTTTTGAAGAGGAGAGTCATGAAAACTTTACTGTTGACTTGTTTATGGTTTAACTCAAGAAAACAAATGTGAACTGGATGGTTGAGAAAAGCTCCAGATATTTCTGTCAAACAGAGGGCAAAGAAACACAGTTCAGCTGTGGTCAACCAAAAGCTTAAGAATGTGATTTTGGAAAGCACTAAATAAAACCAGGTCTCAAACAGTGGCTCTTGATGAGGGCAATGGGATGGTGAGATCACTGCAGACCCTCAGGCCAAAACCTACACGGGGTGATTACACAGTGGTAGGATCATCAAGGTTGGAGGGGACCTTCAAGGTCATTCAGTCCCATCATCACCCAGCACCACCACAGCTTCTCTGGGAATTCTATTCCAGGGCCTCCCCACCCTCACAGCCAGGAATTCCTTCCCAATATCCCACCTAACCCTGCTCTCTGTCAGTTTGAAGCCATTCCCCCTTGTCCTGTCCCTCCATCTCTTCGAAATAGTCTCTCTCCATCTTTCCTGGAGCTCCTTCAGGCCCTGCAAGGCCACAATCAGGTCACCCCAAAGCTTCTCTTCTCCAGGCTGAACAATCCCAGCTCTCCCAGCCTTTCCTCTCAGCAGAGCTGCTCCAGCCCTGGGAACCTCTTGGTGTCTGCTCTGGACTCTCTCCAGCAGCTCCATGTCCTTCCTGGGCTGGGATCCCACATCTGGATGCAGTAGGAAGTAGGAAGGCTTCTACTAACCCCATGCATTGCCAGAGCTGAAGATTCCCATATTTCCACAACAAGCAGCCAACACAACACTCTAAAAAATATTCACCAAATCAAATCAAATCAAATCAAATCAAATCAAATCAAATCAAATCTCTACTATGACACCAATGCTTCCTATTTTTTGTGGTTTGTTTTACTGCTGATTCTTTTTTCTTCAGTGCAGCTCAAACCAATAAACTGAGTTCCACACTGGTAGTAAAAGCTTGGAGTTGGAGGCATCCCAGTGGAACAATGTTCTGATGGATCAGGGCAGTTCTGCCCTGGGAAGAAGGCTGAAGAAGACCTGTATCCTTTCTTCTTCCCTGAGAAAAAAATACCCATCCAGCCTTGCAAGATTTGGATGTTAATTTTCATTAAAATCTTATTAAAATAAGTTGGTAAAGCTGCTGTTACTGGTCACATGAACAATACAAGACTCACATCTAAACAAAATTGGGCATTTCGGGTTTTAAGCCAGGATTAAAGTTAGTTTTCAGCGGTTACAATTCTTGGCACAAAGTGTTCCAAACACTTTCTTTCATTTCTTAAAGCACCCGAACGAGATTTCACTGTGCATGCAGAGGGTAAACACAACCTTAAGTCAGCACTTAGGAAAAAATCATTGTTAAATCATAATCTCCAGAGCTTCACCCTGTATTTTGGGTGTCATTAGAGAGATTAAAATCCACCTTTTCAGTGCCTTGTTTGTTTTAAACATTCAGGATGCAAACCCATATTAAAAGGGAAGATTTACTGTACCAGAACACAAACTCATGCGTTTTTTGAGGGTGACAATGCAGGGAGGCTCTGCACCCTCTGCCAGTGGCACATTAACCCTGATTTGGAAGTATTCCAAGTGTTCAGCCATCAGAGACCAAATCATGGAATGGTTTGAGCTGGAAGGGACCTTAAGGATCACCCAGTCCATGGGCAGGGACACCTTCCACTAGCCCAGGTTGCTCCAAGTTTATCCAACCTGGCCTTGGGCACTTCCAGGGATCCAGGGGAAACCACAGCTTCTCTGGGTAGCCTGTACCAGGGCCTCTCCACCTTCTGAGTGAAGAGTTTCTTGGCCACAGTCAAAGGATTCCACCAGGGTTTCCTGGCTTCCAACAGATGGAAGCTTGAGCTGACAAACTGAGTGTGTCTGGGATGAACAGATCCCGCTGCATGGATACAACCCTGTAGTCTCCCACCATGTGGAGTCTTGCTAAAACTCCTCTTTAACCCACGAACTAGAAGAGGAGATTTAAAGGGGAGAGTTTTTTGTGGAGAAGAATTCTTTCCATTTTTCATGTGGTACCCACTATTTCCCAAAAATAAAACGCTAAAAATGTTACAGAGCTGCAACAGTTGGGGAGCCACAGCTCGGTGTTTCAGCTCCCGGAGATTCATCAACCACCTGAAAACCCATGTCCTAAAAACTTCTCTTAAAACTGAAACCTGCGCTTTTCCCCACACCAGACAAATCCTGGAAGGAGGGGTCACACGAATTCAGATTAAGAATTAGGCTTAAAAACTTCCCTTAAAAATGAAACCTGTGCTTTTTCCCACACCAGACAAATCCTGGAAGGAGGGGGTCACACCAATTCAGACCTGGCAGGATTAGGAATCGACATCTGGCAGAAGAAATTCGTTCCTGCTTTTCTTCCGAGCCTCAGTTTTAAGCAGTTGGTTCTGGCTTTGAGGACAACGTCTGAAAATCCAGGCAGTGCATGTTTACAGAAAATAAAGCTGTCGACCTCTAAAGTGATACACTGAAGAGGATGTCGAGTGAGAGGAATCTCAGAGGGAGGTTTGATTTTATATTTTACTGCTAAAAGCACAAAGCATTTTTGTCATAACACTGTTACTTCTCACGGCGCTCTTACCCGGAGTTTTTTACTAATAAAATGATAAATTGCAAATAATTTTTTTACTGAGATACTTCAAAAAAAAAAAAATTAACTGACATTTAAAATCTGCATGCTTAGCAGGTCATTAATTACCTCATTTAAGAGCTGACAGGTCTCATGTCATGCTCTACACTGTTTTTCAAGCTGTCACACCCACGCTCTGCCTAAAAGCTGTTGAGTATAAGCGTCATCATTTATAATGCAGAAAGGGTATCATTGATTATGTCCTGATTATTCATCATAATGCTTTCTTTTGTGTGTACTTAATCATTGTGGTTTCTTGGAATATGCAAACCTTTCAGGCAAATCTTTCTCCAGAGCAATTCAAACAGAGCCCTGAGCTGACACCAGCTGGGCAAATAGGGCTCAAATAGGACTTTGGGAACAAAGCAATGGCACAAACCCCACCTACAGCCAAGCTTTGGAGTGGGGTCAGGGAGGAGGGACAGTGGGGACTGCAGAGCTGGGCTCTGATTTCCTCTGCTGAGGCAACAAATGGCTCTGGGTTTGTCGCGACGGCTTCGGAGTGACCGCGGCAAACACGGCCCCCTTCGCACGGGGGGGCTGCTGGGGGTCAGCCAACAGGAGCAAAAAGCATCAGAAAAACAGAACTCACAGAATTCACAGGCTCACTGAGCTTGGAAAAGGTCTCCAAGGTCATCCAGCCCCCCCTGTGCCCCATCCCCACCTTGTCCCCCAGCCCAGAGCACTGAGTGCCACGGCCAGGCCTTCCTTGGGACACCTCCAGGGATGGGCACTCCAAACCTACCTGGGCAGCCCCTGCCAAGGCCTCACCACCCTTTCCAGCAGGAAATTCCTCCTCCTGTCCAACCTGCACCTCCCCTGGCACAGCTGGAAGCCGTTCCCTCTCCTCCTGTCCCTTGTTCCCTGGGAGCAGAGCCCAACCCCCCCCTGGCTCCCCCCTCCTGTCAGGGGGTTGCAGAGCCAGAAGGTCCCCCCTGAGCCTCCTTTTCTCCAGGAAAAAATTATCTCTTTTTATCTCCAAACAGTGAGATCAGGTAATGATTTCCATAGAAAAACTTACTTCATGACAATGATCAGCATGTGATTTTCTACGAAAAGCTGATGGGGCAGAAAAGGCTATGCACAGCTGACCTCCAAAGAAAAGGGACCATCCACTAGCAGGTGTCTCAAAAATCCCACTGCTCCCCACCTGAGAGCTCCTGGGAGGTTTCTTTTATGGGGAAGGTTTATCAGGGTGAGCTTTTCCAGCAGTCCCAGAGGTACAATGCTGAGAGAGAAAGATAAACTATCAGGTTCTAGGGCTTTCCTAACTGATATAAATATCAATGCTAAGTACAAACTCCTGACCTCTAATCAATCAATAAATTAAAGCTATACGGTGTATTATTAGTAATTAAATTGGGGGGGGGGAAAAAATCACAATTCTGTGGAGTTAGAATTGTTTCTTGCTCTGTTGGTGGGGTTTTATTCCACTAAGGAGTGCAGGGATGATCAACAACTTCCTGGGACCCTGTGGAGATCCTGAAGTTCTTGGGGCTTATCCCAGACTGGAACCAAGTGGGAAACTCTTCACAGAAATGAGATACACTGTGTTTGGAGCTCTGCTTTTGCTTCTGTGATTATGTTCTCAAAAGAACCTTTAAATATTAATCAGTTAGAGGAGAAGAGCCCTGTGGTCCCAAGTGCTTTGGGGGAAGAGGCTTGAGGAGCCTGTTTTTCTTCCTCTAAAAACAGGAGCAAGAGCATCTCTCTGCTCGAGCCGACGGGGCTGGAATTATCCCCAGAGGAGCTGTATTTATCCTATTAAAACCCCCTTGCTTTTCACATCTGTGAGCGCAGAGCTCTGGCTGGTTGGCAGACGAGTAATAAAGTCATTGCAAAGGCAAGAACATCCTGTGGGAATATCCCTGCGTGGTGCTGCTGGGAGCAGGAGGCACCCAGAGCATGGATGGCACCTTCCCTGTGGTCCAGGAGGCACCTTCAAAGGGCAGGATGAGATGTTTATCAGCTTGAAATGTTCTGAAACATCTGTTGTGTCTTTACTAAAAAGAATTTCGGGTCGTCTTCCTGGGCTTTGTTTGTCCTGAAGAGGCCACGGAATCAGGGAGGGTCAGATTGGATGTCAGGAAAAATGTTTTCCCTGCAGGAGTGGTCAGGCCTTGGAATAAGTGTCCCAGGGAGGTGGTGGAGTCCCTGTGTCTGGGAGTGTTCCAGAGGTGTCTGCATGTGGCCCCTGGGGACATGGATTTGGGGTGATTGTGGTGGTGCTGGGGTGGCACTGGATGATCCTGGAGGTCTCTGCCAGCCTTGATGGTTCTGGGATTATTCAGGGGTGGAGAGTCTTCTGTGCTGAACTCTGAGGGCTAAAAAAAAATCGCTGGAAAGCTTCTCAAAATCAAGGAGCAAACAATTCTCTTCCTGAAGATCTTAAGTTGCCCAGAGAGGCTGTGAACTCTCCATCCCTGGGAGTGTCCAAGGCCAGGTTGGATGGGGGTTGGAGCAATCTGAGCTAGTGGAAGGTGTCCCTGCCCATGGCAGGGGGTGGAACAAGATGATCTTTAAGGTCCCTTCCAACCCAAACCATGATTCTAAGAATTAAACATTTTTAGGCGTTTTACAGGTTGGACAGGCCCACAGCAAACCCCCAGACCTGGTCACTCAAGGCTGACCTTGAACAGGGAAAGTAACAATTATCTAAAAAATAGGCTGTGGCCCCACTTTTATTGAAAAATGCAACAGGTAATTCATTCTCTAAGGAAGGAATTCCCTCTCTCACCCACCCATCCCTGGAGGGTCTGAAGGCCACATTTTCTCATTACAGAAATCTTTCCCCGGCCCACCCAATAGACCATGTCATTAAATATTAATTATTTTTTATTTAAAATTTTTTTTTTCAAAAATGTGAACTCTCTATTTGAATAAAATCCACCTACCTACAGAAATATGTATCCACAGTACATATCTATCTGCCTATGGGTAATTCTACACTCCTCAGGGGACAACACAGAGGAGTTTTCCAGTTTTTACAGAGGGAAATTGAGATATAATATATTAAAATATTAAAAGTTTAGCCACATCCCTGGAGAAGAATCAGGGAGCTCAACAGACACCTGGTCAACTGGACTCTTCTTCCCTCTCAATTTGCACTTTGGGGGACAAGGGCAATCATATTTGAGGGGTCTCCAATGGGTCTGCTGGCCAAAAACTTCCTCACCTGTGAAGGCTGAAGTTCCTCAAGCAGGAGATGGAAACGGAGAAGGGAGTTAAAGTTCACAAGGGCAGGAAAAGTTCCGGCGATAACTTTATCCGGGAGGTTCGTTAGTGCCCAATGGCTCCTGGGAAGCCTTTTTCTTTTGTCCCAGGGCAGGTTGTTTGCCAAGCTGTGTGAACCACCCACAGCAAATGTTCCTACAAAGGGACTTTCAGCAGGGACTGGGGGTATTTGCCCAGTATTATTTCCAGCCACCTGTGCCGGATTTGCAGAGCAGGTCTGGCTTTTGTGCTCCCAGCTTTTGTTCCTGAGCTGCCACAACTCCTTGCCGACTAAGGGAGGGTAAACCTGGCTGGTTTCTTCCTCTGCTTCGAACCTCAGGTCTTCCAGAGCAAGAGTGTGAACCCCAACCCCAAAGGAGACTCTACTCCTTCGAACCCTTTCGTGTGCCCAGGTTTGAAATCCTCAGCAGTGGGTTGGGGATCCCAAAATCCCGGAATCACCGAGGTTGGAAAAGACCTCCAGGATCATCCAGTGCCACCCTCACCCAGCACCACCACAATCGCCCCGAATCCATGTCCCCAGGGGACACATCCAGACACCTCTGGGACACTCCCAGACACAGGGACCCCACCACCTCCCTGGGACACTTATTCCAAGGCCTGACCACTCTGACATGGAAAATATTTTTCCTAATATCTGATCTGAACCTCCTCTGTCACAACTTCAGGCCATTTCCTTTCATGCTTTCACTTGGGAAATGGAAGAAGAGCCCAACTCACACCTCACTCTAACCTTTCAGGGAATTCACAGCCATATTTTGGCAACAGTGCTCTTCACTTAAAAGGGCAGTGCACCTTTTTTTTTTAGTTTATTTTCACTGTGATGTTAAACGTGGTATTTACCTCAGCTCTTTCCAAGACAAACACACCCTCCCTTTTGCGTCATCCGAATTTTCTGTACCTGCTGCAATACAAAACATGATAAAGAATTACCTCAAGCAGCTCATGGGGCAAACAAGTGGCAGGGTTAAGGGTTAAGGAGGAGAGCTGCTGCTACTCTGCTCGAGTTTTGTTTGGGCTGGGTGTTTAGAACTCGACTCACTCACTCCTACCCCACAAATAATTCTCCTGGAGTCTGTAAAAATGATCTTCTGCATCTCCTCAGCCTCTGGACGTGGCCTTGGGGGACACAGTTTAGGAGTGATTCTGGTGGTGCTGGGTGATGTTGGGACTGGATGATCCTGGAGGTCTCTCCAGCCTTGATGATTCTGTGATCATGTGTGATTTTCCCAGGACAATCTTACTTGTAAACACAACATTGACCCTCATTCTGATGAGCCAGAGACCTGCTCTCTCATCCAGCTCAGCATCTCCTGTTCAGACAAAAACCTTGCTGCCCCTTTGCAACCTCAGCTCAACACCACTGTAGGTGTGGTCCTGGTCAGATTCCCTGCCTGGGGATGCACTGGGATGCACTGGGATGCACTGGGAAGGAGGAGGCCATGGGGATGTCACATCCAGCGAGCTCTCCATCAACCGGGGTGGCAGCTCTTCCCTGTGCAGCACGCTGCAGGAAACCACGAGATGTCATCACAGATCTTATCACCAAGGAGTTCTTTCTCCTCAGAGCAGAAGTGTGCTGTTATCTTCAAATATTCAGGAGGAGTGCTGCCCACATCCCTTCAGAGAGAGTGGAAACAGATGGAAAGCTCGGCACGGGAAGAGGCCACTTGCCAGAGTGGCTTATCCTCATCCTGACACTCATGTTCAGAGGGGTACTCTGGGGGCATTAACCACTGGGTGGGCCACATGACTGGTTGCTACTACTTCAGGAGTTAGTTAGGGTTTGAATTTTTTTCAGCTCAGCTCGAAGAAGTTCCTGTTTTGAGGTCCCAAAGTCCGTGCTACTCCAAAAACACAGTGTCTTCTCCTCACAGAAAGAACAAACTCCTCAGGAAATGGCAACAGAGCCCTTGCAGAATTTAGGAGTACCAGAATCACCAGGGCTGGAAGAGACCTTCAGGGTCATCCAGTGCCACCCTCACCCAGCACCACCACAATCACCCCAAATCCATGTCCTCAAGGGCCACATGCAGACACCTCTGGAACACTCCCACACACAGGGACTCCACCACCTCCCTGGGACACTTATTCCAAGGCCTGACCACTCCTGCAGGGAAAAATTGTTTCTAATCCCTGATCTGACCCTGCCCTGGTGCAGTTTGACGCCATTTCCTCTCCTCCTTTCCCTCGGGACATGGCAGCAGAGTCCGACCCCCCCTCCCTGCCCCCTCCTGTCAGGGAGTTGGGGAGAGCAATGAGGTCCCCCCTGAGCCTCCTCTTCTCCAGAAAAACCCCCCCAGCTCCCTCAGCTGCTCCTCACAGGACATGTTCTCCAGACCCTTCCCCAGCTCCCTTGTCCTTCTTAGGATACACTTTTTTCATGTCCATTGTATAAACTGAAGGAGTTACCCATATACATATTGATAAGCTTTTTATATAGAATCACAGAATCATGGAACCAAAGAATAGTTTCAATTGTAAGGCACCTTAAAGTTCATCCAGTCCCACCCCCTGCCATGGGCAGGGACACCTTCCACTAGCCCAGATTGCTCCAAGCCCTGTCCAACTTGATCTTGGACACTTCCAGGGATGGGGAGTCCACACCTTCCATTCTACAACTCCATGAAATCATTAATATTTTCAATATCTAGGAACTGACTGGCATCCTGGAGTAGAGCAGGTAAGCCTGCAGGAGCTGCCACAACACATATCCCATGTCTGGTTTCCTTGATAAAGTTCTCTATAAATCAGTCAGAAGCATCATAAAAAAATATTATTACAGGAAAAAAGCTGTAAAACTCTTGTCTTTAAGACATTTCCTTGGCACTGTAGGTAAATTGGAAGAATCAGCCATGATGTCACCTCTGCTTTGGATTCTCAAAGCTGCCTAAGGCAACCAGGCCCTTGACACACGTTCATTTTCTTTGGGCACACCTTTGAAAAACCCCAGCTGGTGTGTTTTTCCGAGGAGATACATCCCCCTGGGAGCGTGACCACACTTGGAAAGTCTCTGGCACCACTCTCACTGTGTTCCAGCCCAGATTTGCAGCTCCCTCACACCACTCACTGCTCTTTTTCATTCCTCTGCTGGTCTGTACACTTTGTACGAGTGTATCAGCACTGAGGTTTTCGTGGTGAGCTGGGAGAGGAGTTAACAGCACTATCTAACCTCAGTTGTTTTATCCCAACATGGCTGTGGTTTGGTCTTCAAACAAGCTGAAAGATAAGCAAATATCTGCTGTGACCCCTCCTGCACCATGTATATTTTATGAAAGCAAACAGTTTAATGCTGTGGTTCACACCCCACTGCTGAACACTCAGCAGAGTAATCTCTGCACCACAACAGGGGTTGAAACTGCTTTATTTCCTCCCCAAAATACATTGGAATAAGTTGTCCAGGGAGGTGGTGGAGTCACTGCCTCTGGAAGTGTTCCAGAGGTGTCTGGATGTGGCCCTTGAGGACATGGATTTGGGGTGATTGTGGTGGTGCTGGGTGAGGGTGGCACTGGATGATCCTGAAGGTCTCTGCCAGCCTTGATGATTCTGGGATCATTCATGGGTTGAGATTCTTTTGTGCTGAATTCTGAGGGCTGAAAAAAAACTGCTGGAAGGCTTCTCAAAATTAAGAAGCAAACAAAAATTATCTTCCTGAAGTTCCTAATTAGGTTGCCCAGAGAAGTTGTGGACTTCCCATCCCTGGAAGTGTCCAAGGCCAGGTTGGATGGGGCTTGGAGCAACCTGGGCTGGTGGAAGGTGTCCCTGCCCATGGCAGGGGGTTGGAACTGGATTATCTTTGTGGTCCCTTCCAACCCAAACCATTCTGGGATTCTATGACTCTTCCAACCTTGGTGATTCTATGATTCTGGGATCTGCTGTCCCTACAGCCAAAGTGTGGTGTGATTCTTGGGGTATCCTGCGTAGGGCCAGGAGCTGGACTCAATAATCCTGATGGGTCCCTTCCAACTCAGCATATTCTCTGATTCCTGTAGTGGTTCTACTCCAGTTCTCACAACCAGAAAAAAACACAGGTAAAAGGTACAAAGTGGCAGACTGAGGCAAAATCAGCTTTTCTGATTCCTCTTCCCTCTTCAACCCCATCTTCCTTCCCATCAACACCCCAGTTCCATCCCCAGATTCGATTATTTGCTTTCGCCTTAAAACAACTCCCTGAACAGGAGAATCTTATTTCAGAGAAGCCTCTCATTGCAAAAGCATCCTGGAAAGAGCAGAAATAAAGAGCACAGACCATCATTCACGTCATCAGCACAATCACACAAGTCCAAACCCAAAAACAATTGCGCATTTTTCTCTGCTCCCCCGAGACCCGACATTTAAAGCTTGTATGTATTTCCTGCAAGCCTCACAAGAGCTTCTTAAAAATGTTCCTGGCTGCAGATAAGTGGCCAAGCACCGAGTCCAAACCGTGCACACCAAGAATTTTAAACTGACTATTCCTTAGCCTTTGCTGCTTTTAATAATTTTAAATTATTTAAGTAAAAATTTGTCGGAGACACACTGAGCCACACGTGGAGGGGAATTATGAGGCAGAAATAAAACACCATTTTGTTTTGAGCTGGATGTTCATGGTCCTGAGGTGCTGAAGTGCCACTGAAACCCACCAAACAGGTGATATTTTTCTTTCGAACACTATAGAATTTTAAATTGTGCACAGTTAAAGGAGCAGGACGCTGTTATGGTGCTTTTCACTTAAAAGCTTATAGTGACTAAATCAAATCTGCCACCCAGAAATGATTTGCCAAAGAAAGGCTCCTTAGGATTTAAATAATAAAGATGCTGAAGATTTGTTAAGCCTGTCCTTAAGTCACAAAGTTAGACAGTTAGAGAAGACACAGGGCACTTGTACAGTGCAATTCTCTGCGAGGGTGGTGAGGGGCTGGGATAGAATTCCCAGAGAAGCTGTGGCTGCTCCTGGATCCCTGGAAGAGTCCAAGGCCAGGTTGGACGGGGCTTGGAACAACCTGGGCTGGTGGAAGGTGTCCCTGCCCATGGTAGGGGGTTGGAACTGAATGTTCTTCAAGGTCCTTTCCAATCCAAACCATTCCACGATTCTATCCATTTAGGAAGTAGAACTCACCTTCTGTGCCCAATTCGTGGCTTACAAGCCTATGAGACATCTTCTGTGGTCATAGAACCAGAAGAGAGTGAGCATGAAAGAACCATGGGTGAGGCAACTATCTGGCAGCTTCTGAATAGAACAACATAGGAAGAAATGGCAATTCCTTGTGGGAGCTGAGACAACTCCTCCCAACCTCCAGCAGCCAGGACAGATCCTCCAGGGAAAAGCACAAGACAGAGAACAAACATGATGGTCTTGTTCCAGTTTGCATCCAGACCATTGGCTCTGTCTTTGTCTCGACCCTCTTGGAAACCATTTCTCCTTTTGGCCTCCAGGACAATCTTGAGGGAATGAGCTCAACAAACTGACTACGCACGACTGTGAAAAGATTTTCCCTTTTGTTTTGTGCTTTATGATCCCACCAGGCACCCCCTGCTGCTTGTGCTTTGAGAAAGAGTATTTAGTCCTTCCCTATCTGCCTTCCCCATGCTATTTAGGATTTTATAGTCGCCCATCATGACCCTTTGCTACCCCATTTTTCCATTTTCCCAAACTCGGGAAAATTACTATGGTTAAACTTATTTCCTGCAGGGATCATTTCAGTCTCTGCTCTCCTCTTTACTTCTGCTGGCTCTGCTTGTCTTACTTTTGCTGGATTCAAGAAGTGATGCCCAAAGTAGAGTGTGTTATATTATTTATATTATTGCATTTTATTGTATAAGGCTATGCTATCTTATTCCTGTCTAAAAGGAGGTATGAATTATACATGGGACAAAAAATGCTCTGTTCATTCATTTTTGACTCCAGCTGAGCACTGAAGCAGTATTTTCACACACCATAATCCAACCATCACAAGGTAACACCAGCATCCTGCAGCCAGTGAAATTCCCAAATTAAATATCCCAGTGACTTCGAAGTGCCTCAAGTGAAGAACAAACATGTAGTGGAATGAATCCATTCCTGAAGAACAGGCTGAAATACGGTCAGAGCATCTGAGAAGGTTGGGGACAGGTTGGATTGATGGGATGAGATCAATTGTGGGAGGTTCAACCAGGCCGAGGGCCGGGTCCTGCCCTTGGGTGACACCAACCCCCTGCAGCTCCAGACTGGGACAGAGGGGCTGGAAAGGATCAGGAAAGGCCCTGGGGGTGCTGGTGACAGAGGTTGGACACGAGCCTGGGTGTGCCTAGGGGGACAAGAGGCCAATGGAACCTGGTTTGGATCAGGGATAGTGTGGTCACATCCCAGGGCAGGGATTGTCCCCTGTGCTGGCACTGCTGAGGGACCTCCAGGGCTGTGTCCAGGTCTGGAGCCTCATGGAAGAGAGACATGGAGGGGCTGGAGCGTGTGCAGGGAAGGGAACGGAGCTGGGAAGGGGCTGGAGCAGCAGGAGGGGCTGAGGGAGCTGGGGGGGGCTCAGCCTGGAGAAAAGGAGGCTCAGGGGGGACCTTCTGGCTCTGCAACCCCCTGACAGGAGGGGGGAGCCGGGGGGGTGGGGCTCTACTCCCAGGGAAGAAGGGACAGGAGGAGAGGGAACGACCTCCAGCTGTGCCAGGGGAGGCTCAGGTTGGACAGGAGGAGGAATTTGTTGCTGGAAAGGGTGGTGAGGCCTTGGCAGGGGCTGCCCAGGGAGGTTTGGAGTGCCCAGCCCTGGAGGTGTCCCAGGAAGGCCTGGCCATGGCACTCAGTGCTCTGGTCTGGGGGACAAGGTGGGGATGGGGCACAGGGGGGATCCATGGGCTGGGAGGGCTTTTCCAACCTCAGTGACTCTGGGATCTGCTGGATGCTCTAACACCTCAGTGACCCTCTGTGGCTCCTCTTTTCTCTTCCCTGACCACACAGCCCTGCACACATCCTACAGGAGGTCAAACACCAGTGACCTGAGGCACTGCTGTTTTGTGGGGTCTGGCACCACACTCTCTCCTCCTGCTGAAAACATTCAACTGGCACTTTTTTGCCAAAACCTGCTGGTTTCTCACACCCACCACCCAGCCCTCAGCTCCACATGCTAAAAGAGGGGAGAAGAAGGAAGGGCTCTTTATGCATTTAATGTTCTGCTGATTGGTGACAAAAATAAAGCAAAACACTCCTGAACACTTGCACACAAGATTTACAAGAAGACAACAGCAACTGCTCGGGGATGATAATTAAACAAGGCCCACAAAGCTTTTGGGGATAGAAGAGACTTGTCACAGCTTGTCTTTCATTTTGCTCATGATCCCATATGGCTTTGTTAACTAATTGTGCTGTTGGCTCGGGGATCTCTGATGTGGCATTAATTTGGGAAATGTGGAAAAGTGACAATCAACAGAGTAACAGCAGATGTGGCTGAGTAGCTCAAGCCACAGGCTGCCCCCCAAAAAATGGTGTTTCTTTCTCACTGAATTCTGCACTAAGTGTGTTATTGCACCGAGTTATTCCACAGGCAGCAAAAGTAACAACCCCCCCATTCCCTCTGGTCTGGATCTGCCAGATCTGCTGAGGTGGGAGTTGGGTTCTTCTGCCACGTCCCGAGGGAAAGGAGGAGAGGAAATGGCCTTAAATTGCACCAGGGCAGGTTCAGATCAGGGATTAGAAACCATTTTTCCCTGCAGGAATGGTCAGGCCTTGGAATAAGTGTCCCAGGGAGGTGGTGGAGTCCCTGTGTCTGGAAATATTCTAGAGGTGCCTGGATGTGACACCCGGGGACATCACCAAAAATTAACAATTTTTCTTCATGTAATCTTGTCATATTCTGGCTGACCTTGTGATGGCAGATGTGGCAGGAGGTCTCGAAAGGCTGAGGAGCCCAGAGTGGTGGCTTTAAGCAGTTTTTGAGGCTATCAGGGGCTCTGGGACTTATTATTCACTCCCTGGTATTGGGTTTTATGTGGCACTAGGAAGGCATTAGGAAGATTCTCCAAAGCCTGGAGAGGAGAAGGCTCCAGGGAGACCTTAAAGCCCATTCAAGGGCCTAAAGGGGATTCAAGAGAGGGACTTTTGACAAGGGATGGAGTGACAGGAATGGGGGAATGGCTTCCCACTGCCAGAGAGTTGGGTTAGACGCGATATTGGGAAGGAATTCTTCCTGTGAGGGTGGGGAGGGGCTGGGATAGAATTCCCAGGGGAGCTGTGGCTGCCCCTGGATCCCTGCAAGTGTCCAAGGCCAGGTTGGACAGGGCTTGGAGCAACCTGGGCTAGTGGAAGATGTCCCTGCCCATGGCAGGGGATTTGAATTAGATGATCTTTAATGTCCCTTCCAACCCAAACCATTCCATGATTCCATGATTCTACTCCGGCTCTGCGTCACCAACCATGATGTTAATGTAAAATTATCTGTCCTTTGTCTCGATGACCAAAAAACTGAGGGTCAGAGGTGACAAGAGCAACAACACATTTGCACAACTCCATCAGGGCAAAGCTGATTTCTTGGAAGGGAATCTTTGAGGGGCCCACAATTTAGCAAGAAGGCTTCAGAAGAAATTCGTGTTTGAATCCAAGCACAGATGAAACACAATAGCCAGAGTTATCACTGGGAGGATCTGAAACGCGCCAACAAGCAAAACCACAAGAAATGGCTAATAAAAGCAAAACCCCTGTGAAGCATAAAAAAAAAAATGTACATTACCATTATGTTGTGGTTAATTCTCAGACAATACTGCAAAAATAAGGGTGAAGTGTTACTTCCTGTCACTTAAAGGCAACGAAACCCGAACACCAAGAATTCCTCAGGCCGAGGAATGCAGACATACATCATGTCTGCAAGAATCATAAAAAGATCAAATGCGATATTTTCTTTTCGGCGCGAGACAAAACCGCCCTGAGACTTTCCATCCAGCCGGCCCCGAATAAACCGCCCCCGGCGCTTGCCAATTACTCCTGACAGACCCCATTTGCTCCTGAGTGATGTCTTAAGTGAAACAAAACAGCGAAGAAAACCCCAACACGATGAAAGGGTTCCTTTTTTTTTCTCCCCCCTCTGGAGTGACTGTAAGTTCTGCGCCCACGAGGCAGGACCTGAGCTTCCTGCCGGGGACGAATCCGAGCGCGGAGGGGAGGTTTGTTTGACAGGAGCTGGGTTTTCGTGTTGTTTTAAGAACTCGGATGGTTCCTGGCTATAAACAAAGGAGCTGCTGGGACCCCCCATTGCACATCATTCTTCTCAATATAAGTGCACTAATGGAGGGGATGATTCCCTAATATTGAAGTGGTCAGAGGGCAAAGTGGGTGGACGGTGGAGCTTTCTGTCAGCAGAGCTTGATTTATGTATCAGCTGCAGCCTGCAACCAGTAACAACCAGCATATTCCATATTTTCACAACATTTATTAGTCGTGGAGAGCTTTGAGACAGGTAAAACCAGCTCAAGCTCTAGGACTGGAAGAGGTATTTAAAGAATGATTTAAATAACCTACTCTTAGTCCTCTTTTGACCTTCCCTCCTTTCAAACAGAGAGTTGTGATCCATTTAGCTCTACATTTACCACCTCAGCTGTCAGGAGGATTTGCTCCAGGTCCTTGTATGGTGATGTCTGCTGCCTGTCTGGGCTCTCACAGCATCACAGCCGTGTTGCCTGTTGCCCCCAGGACACCAAGTTACCAGAAATTTGTCTCTTCCTCCCAAGGGGAGCAGCATCTTTTTCTAACTAACCCAGTACTGCAGCAGCTGTTTTCTAAATTACCCCAGGAACGCTCCCATTTCCCCCCTGCCTGACATTCAGCAGTTGCATCGTGTTTTTGACTTCCATTCAAATCTTACTTTCATCCTGAAGCAGTGGGGAGAGCGGGGTGGGGGACACTCCAGAGAACTTGGGGACATTAAGGACATTTTTCATGCTGGTTCATTTTGCAACGGGCTGGGGTTTCTTTATTTCCCAGTTCTCTGCATGTTTACTTTGGCAAAACCATTTTATTTTGAAATTAGGAATGTTTAACCCATCGGGTTATTATCACGAGAATTTCAAAAAACATGTTAGTAAAAATTAATCAAGGCTGTGCTATGAGGTTCCACCTACTTTTGGTGTTAGAGCTCAAAACTTCAGCAGGATATTCCTTCAGACTTCAGGCTTCCTGATTATTCTCAGGGAAGAATAAACCAGGACAAACTCAAGGAGTGTGAATGTGGTGGCTTTTTGGGGCATATTTGGCTTTATTTATAAGGCCCAGGTGGGTAAGAATGTAGAGGTGACATGGCAGTCTGTGCCCAGGGCAGATCCATTGCCTGGTACACATTCATTAAATGACAGAATTCCAGGATGGTTTGGGTTGGAAGGGACCTTAAAGATCTCGTTCCACCCCCTGCCATAGGCAGGGACACCTTCCAGCTGCTCCAAGCCCCATCCAACCTGGCCTTGGACACTTCCAGGGATGGGGCCTCTTCTCCCGGGGAACAAGGGACAGGAGGAGAGGAAATGACCTCAGGTTGTGCCAGGGGAGGCTCAGGTTGGATATCAGGAGGGATTTCTTGCTGGAAAGGGTGGTGAGGCCTTGGCAGGGGCTGCCCAGGGAGGTTTGGAGTGCCCATCCCTGGAGGTGTCCCAGGAAGGCCTGGCCGTGGCACTCAGTGCTCTGGGCTGGGGAACAGGGTGGGGATTTGTAACAACTTGGACTTGGTGGTCTGGGAGGCTTTTTCCAACCTCAGTGATTCTGGGATTTTGGGATACCTCAAGACACACTCTCAGCTTTCCCCAAGTTCAGCCTCCTACACCCTGGTGCTTCCAGCCCCAACAGCACGTTGGAAGAGGAGTGCCACTCTCTGATCCTCCTCCCAGGCCGTAGTAAATCCCTGTCACTGAAATAAATTTTGTTCTTTCCCAGAAAAAAAAAAAAAAATTAAGTGATCTCTGTCAGTTTTGGACTAAAATTTGCCTAATGAAGCCCTGAGGTCACATGTCAAAGGCAAGGTGTCAAAGGCTTTGTTGGAGCCAAGTGGAATTAAATCAGCATAAAATAGACATGAGATCAACTGATTTTTCTAGTTGAAGGTTCCCTACCAGTGGCAGGGGTTGGACTAGATGGTCTGTAAGGTCCCTTCCACCCCAAACCATTCTGGGATCCTGTGATACACTGATAGACCAGAAGCTTGGCGTGGGAAATGAGAGGTTTCCCACCTGGAAACACAGAGGGATCCATGCCCATCTCTATCTGTGAGTGGAACAGTGAGACACCCAGATGGACCAGCACAACCAAAAGGGTCCATCACTGCCAAAAAAATGCCAAGGAACCCAAATATCCCTGCTCTGCTCAAGTTGGGATAGCCCTGGCTGTGGCACACACAGACACACACAGCAACCTGCCTGAGGCTTCCAAATGCTCTCTCACCTTCATTATTGCACAAAACAGCCCCTCTCTGGGGGCACCACTCCACCCTCCCACTCCAGCTCCCATCCCCACTGCTCTCCCAGCAGGCCTTTAGGATTCTCCCATGACCTACACAGTGTTTTCCCACTCCAGAGCCAGGGAACGGCCAGCCCAGCATCCAAGTACCAGCCAGGGACAGTTTGGAGCACGTGAGTCCCCCTAGGACTGCATGGTCCATCCTGGGCTCTGTCCAACATCCAGGCCAACCCACCCACTCTGAGCACTTCTGTCCATGCCAAGTTCATCCCAAGGGAAGGAGACATAAATTCCCTGGTAATTTCTTGCTGGCTCCTCATGGACAGACATGCAGGCTCTGGATGCCAGCCCGGGCAGGGTGGTACAGACAGGGATGGCACCAGGCTCATGCTGAGTGTCCCTCTGTCCTCCCAGCAGTGACTGCCAAGGGTCAAAAGAACCAAACTGCCACCGCCAGCTCCTTCCAGAGCAGCTCCAGAGGGAGGGAGAGACCAAAATAGCACATCCAGAGCCTGTTGGATGGATGTGCCAGGGCTGCAGTGCCCATTTGACAAGTTGTGCAGCCCAGCTCTGGCAGCACAGAATGGTTTGGGTTGGAAGGAACCTCAGAGATCATCCAGTTCCAACCCCCTGCCATGGGCAGGGACACCTTCCATCAGCCCAGGTTGCTCCAAGTTTATCCAACCTGGCCTTGGACACTTGCAGGGATCCAGGGGCAGCCACAGCTGCTCTGGGAATTCTATCCCAGCCCCTCCCTACCCTCACAGGGAAGAATTCCTTCCCAATATCCCATCTAATCCTGCTCTCTGTCACTTTGAAGCCATTCCCCCTTGTCCTGTCCCTCCATCCCTTGAAAATAGTCTCTCCCCATCTTTCTTGTACCTCCCCCAGGTCCTGCAAGGCCACAATCAGGTCACCCCAAAGCTTCTCTTCTCCAAAATCACCCCAGCCAGAGGAAATATTTCAATGCAAGTTCAACCATCAAAGGATGTTATTGAGAGGGATCTGTGCAAAAGATTCATCTGGCTCCGAATTCTGAAGAAATAAAACACACGAACAGAGAATTCTCCACTGCAACCCCAGTAACTAAACCATTAAAGTTCACAGAATCATCAAGACCTTCAAGATCATCCAGCCCAAAGCAGCAAAATTTGAACTATTAATTCTGTCTTGAGTGACAGGCTCAAGGAGGAATGACATGATTCAAGCTGAGAGAGGAGCAATTCCAACCGAGCTAAAATACAATAAAATTGAGAGAAGATAAAAGACTAGAAAGCTCCAAGTTCCACTTGAAACCAGCAGAAAGAAAATGGAATTTTCAACCATTTATCAAAATCCAATCGTTGTGTGTCATTGAAGACAATACTTTTTACTACAAAAAATATAATCCAGTAAATAGGGTTATAACTGGATGTGGATATACCGTAAATCCTTCTTCTCTGCAGTGCAGCTGCATCATCTAGTGGACAGCTCAGAGATTGCATTAGTTACACACAATTAGCTTGGGATTAATTATCTTTGCTTTTCCCCCGAACACACCTCACTGCAGAGCTTTCCTGAGTTCTGGAATTACAGGTATCCACTAGAACATCCAGGGGAGTGAGATGGAAATGTGATTTTTTTCTTTCCATTCACAGAATCCCAGAATGGGTTGGGTTGGAAGGGACCTTAAAGCCCAGTGCCACCCCCTGCCATGGGCAGGGACACCTTCCACTAGCCCAGGTTACTCCAAGCCCCATCCAGCTTGGCCTTGGACACTTCCAGGGATCCAGGGGTAGCCACAGCTTCCCTGGGTAACCTTTTCCTGTGATTGTCTAAAAAAACCCATAAAGTTCTGCTGGGACAATGTCCCTCTGCCCTGGAGTTCATCACCTCCACCACTCAAGTCCCAGATTTGCTGAGTCCACCAAACACTTCAAATTCTGCCCAAGGGGGGGCACTTTTAAAGGGGTTTTCTTTACTGTCTAGGCAGGGAGGGGCTCTATACCCCAAGCAAAATCATTTTAAAAGCTCTTCCTTTGCAAATGCCATCTCGGAAATGTTCTCAGAGTGTACTTAAAAGCTTTAATTATCCGAGTATGAGAGTTGATACTCCCTCATCTTGTCCCAAAACAGACAGGCCCAAAGGCACTTAGCAATGATGGATGATCTCCACACATTACAGCTGAAGAAAACTGTAAATTAGGAGCCACTCTCTGAGGAGATCAAAGAAAATCCAGGCTGGATTTACATAAATTGACAGGGGAAAGATATTGTCGTGAGGGTTTGTGTTTATCATTTTTCAGTGACTTCAGACTGCACTAAATCAACTCCCTCCTTCAAAAAAAACAAACGAAGAAATAAGCTGTGCTACTTCTGCCTCGTGCTCCAATCACAGATCAAGTGTCTCTTACTACCCTGCCCAAACCCAGTGTCTCCAGTGCAGCCACGGAATCATTCCCACTTCATCCCTCTTGGAGTCACAGAATCAAGGTTGGGAGAGACCTCCAGGATCATCCAGTTCCACCCCAGCACCACCACGATCACCCCCAATCCATGGCCCCAAGGGACACATCCAGACACCTAAGGAACACTCCCAGGCACAGGGACTCCACCACCTTCCTGGGCAACTAATTCCAATGCCTGACCACTCCTGCAGGGAAAGTTTTTTTCCTAATCTCTGATCTGAACCTGCTCTGGCACAATTTAAGGCCATTTCCTCTCCTCCTTAAAAAACTGCTTAAAACCACCGCTGTGGGCTCCTCAGCATTTCAAAACCTCCTGCCACATCTGCCATCAAGAGGTTGGCCAGAATATGACAAGATTACATGAAGAAAAGCTGTTAATTTTTGGTGATGTCCCCAAATGTCACATCCGGACACCTCTAGAATATTTCCAGACACAGGGACTCCACCACCTGCCTGGGACACTTATTCCAAGGCCTGACCACTCTTGTAGGGAACTTTTTTTTTCTAATCTCCAACCTGACCCTGCCCTGGTGCAGTTTGAGGCCATTCCCTCTCCTCCTTTCCCTCAGGACATGGCAGCAGAGCCCGACCCCCCCTCCCTGCCCCCTCCTGTCAGGGAGTTGGGGAGAGCAATGAGGTCCCCCCTGAGCCTCCTCTTCTCCAGATAAACCCCCCCAGCTCCCTCAGCTGCTCCTCACAGGACATGTTCTCCAGACCCTTTCCCAGCTCTGTGCCCTTCCCTGGACACCCTCCAGCCCCTCCATGCCCTTTTGAGTCACACTGCACAAGCTGGAAAAGATTTTAACTCCCTGCCGTGGTCTAGACCAGGTTTGTATCACTACTGGGCAGAAAATGGGATTTATTCCTCCTGCTTCTGAGCTTTGCACACCCAATCTGAAAGGGGATTGATGCAAAGAGGGAAATAAAGCACGATTTCCACACTAAAATCCCAGCTAAATCCCTTCTCAGACTCACAGAGAGACAAACCACTACAGCAAAGCAGCTCAAAGGGGCTCTGACTAAACAAGACACTAAGAGGGAGGATTTTCACTCCTGGAAATCCTGATTTAGTGTCCTGTCAGAGAGCTGGAGAGCACTCCCAGCGCTGCTG